GGGAAAGACATTCACAGAGCACGAGTTTGATTGGTTCGAAGATATTGAAACAAATATTCCAATTCATCTTGGAAATTTTATCAAAGCTGTGTCGGCTGCTGCTTATTTTGATGGAGATAGAAAGCAAAGTATTGATATTTTGGATGAATGTATCAAAACTGATCCAAAGAATATTTATATTCACTATTTGAAGGCATCTTGTTTAAACAATCTCACTAGTTCAGAGTCAGACCTTAATATTGTTCGCAATAATTACTCAGATGCTATTCATCATTTGGAGAAGGCATTGGCCTATCTTGAAAATATTCCAAAGTTGCCACTTCCTACTCTTGCAAAGACTAATTTTTCACACGAAATTGAAGAACCAGAAAAACAGGTTGAAAGAATTAACGATCTCAAATTCACACCAATTTGTTTATTATTGGCCAACGTGTATGCAAGAGCTGCTGAATCTGGAGTTTCAATAGATTTGCGACACATTTACGGTGCAAAGGGGGTCGATTATGTCAGACAAGTTGAATTATATTCAAGATCACCTAATGAGCCTTATTTGTATATGAGTAAGGGAGGTTGCTATTATGCTTGTGGTATGTATGAATTGGCAGTCAATGCCTATTCTTCTGTTGAAAGATTTGAAGCAGTTTTGGATCCAAACGCCATCATTGACTCTCTTTGTTATGCTTCGAATGGAATGGTTGCTCTTGGGTATTCTGATAAGTGTTTGGAAGCAATGGAATTTTATATTGAAAAATATAATAATGATGCGAGATTAGTTTTTCAAAAGATTCTCTGTAAAGAGTACATGTGTAGATCAAAGGATGAATTGAGACAGGTTTTGAAAGAATTCGAACAATTAAAGGAGAGCATTCAAGATTTGAAACTCACTCCATGGATTTATTCAAGGGTTAACGAGCAAACCGATGCAAGAATTAACGATATTTTTGCAGCTATCAACAATCCACAAATTGCTGAACGTTGGTAATAACTAAGCACATGGTCTAAGTTTGAAAAGGTGTTAAATAAACATCTTTTAACTTACCATTGTGATATATAATAGTCTGATCTACATGTGTTGCAAACAGGAAGGTGTACCTTCCTATATTTATTGAGATAATCAATAAAGTTTGGAATGTGTCAGAAAAACTTGCCCTCTCGCCATTTTGCCATATTTGAGATCTGGACTTTTATAGTCTGGAAATAGGGTAGACGTGTTCCATATTCAATAATCTATATGAAAAAAAGAAGAAATAAAATTAACTCTTGAATTGAGTATATAACGACTATTGATATTACTATATATATATATATGGTATTTGGATAATAAATTCCACAGAAATCACTCTTGAAATATAAAATGCACTAGAGTATGTGAGAAACATAATGGTGGTGAAACTGACCAATAACTCGCTGAAATGACTGATATGGAATGTAAACTATGGTCTATTATTCATGTAAGTGTGACTAGACAGTGTCAATTCCACTATAGTATTTCATACTGGATTGAAATCATCAAATATACTTCTATACATCACATATATCATGTAGAACTAGTTTCAATATTTAATATTGTGAGATGACTCTGTTGGATACCATCTCTATAAATATAACAAGATGAAAAGTGTCAATATATGTTTTCACATACATGTTACTATGAAGAGTCATCATTATATCATCTAAATAGGTAGTATTTATATATAACAATTGAACATATGATTCCTGTATCAATAATTCATTATTCAATGATTTAGATATGATGGTAAAATTTAATTTTGGAATTAAGATTCTTCCCTATTGATTACCTTAGATGTTTCCTTAGTTGACTTGAAGTTTTTGAGCCATCAATATGAAACTTTCACAGATTGTTCTCCTCACCAAGAGGAGTGTATTCATATTGATACTTGTATGATATTTTGTAAAATGAATGAGATGGAGTATATTTTATATGTTGAAATGTGACAATTTGACAGATTGTTATTATTATCATACTGAATTCAACTCTAATAGACTTAAATTGATACCATATGTAGGTTGGGTTTGGTTAACCTGGCGCCGGACGATTTTGTCCAAAAATCCTGCCTTTCGACCTAAAATTTTTTAGCTATGCCTTCTACACATCTATTTCTATCTACCATATTAATATCTAGTCTTGTCTTTAAGTAGTTTTCGAGAAAATAGCCTCTGATTAGAGGTCATTTTTCAATAAAATTTTCCCGCGGAAATTTCCCCGCTTTTAG